TAGTCAGAATCTTTCCAACAAGAAAGATGATATATTACCGTTTCTTTGTCTCCTATTCAATTCGTTTATCTTACTGAAATGTACTCTACTTAAAATTCAAATGCATTTATAACTCCAGCCTCCAGTTGAAAATAATTCTTTGAACATATTGTTCGAAAGAAACTTTAAAATGGTTTTCTACAAAAATGATTTATTGTCGCCATACTAATATAAATTGTAAACTACAAAAACTAAAAAAAAAAAAAAAAAAAAATTGAAAACTTAATAGGATCGATAATTTTTAGTGTCTCTTCCTTAAAAGTACAAATATCAAGAGAAATGTTTCGATGCTTGTTTTCGTGGAAATTGTTGTACTCAAAATATATCAATTTTCTTCCACCAGAGATTTTAGTTTTCTTTGTAACAATGGAAGATTGTTTCGCATTATAAAACTACGGATTGGCATCGTTGGCGCTTTCACTCCTGTATTTTTTTTTTTTTGTTCCAAAAGAAATAAAAAGTACGCCTTCTGTTCGTTTTCACAAAGAATCTAGTTTCACAAAGAATCGCCGAGAATTTCTTTATTATTAAAATTACAATTTTAACATTGGAATCTTTCTCTTACACGAAAATAAGAATCCTCTTGTTCTTATTTTTCTTTACCCAATTTTTTCAAACTTAAATTCAATTCGAGCAATTCATATTCGAATTTTTCTTCGAGTTTTCTTCTACGTACAGGTGAAGAATAAATAAAAAATGAATGAAAACTTCAGGCAGAAAAATCGGTATCATTCTCACCATTCTTTTTATGCGAAATACGAATATATGAATGCACGAATGTAAGAAAAGCAATGCATTAAAAATGAGACTAGCCATGCTCCTACCGATCCTTTCGATTTTCCAAATTTCGTTTTTGAAAGATTCTATCTTGAGATATTTGCAATTCTACGCGCCAATTTTCAAGAATCGCGTGAAACGACAAACAAAATCAAGGAACAAACAAATGTTCCCATGGACTTCTTGAAAGAAAGTGTGTTATATGATAATATAGATTTTCTTTTTTTTTACATTTCTTGATTTGAATTATTAATAAAGTTGAAGCCAATCGCGTTAGCTATAATATTAAATTTTAATTCTTTGATTTTTTGCTCCGCAATTTCACGAAATTTTGATAAAAATTTATATATTGAAAATATTAATTTTTGAAAAAAAGTTTGGAAAATTCTGCTTTAATCAAAAAATTTTTTTTCAGAAACTATTTACAATTATCCTTTTATAAAGGACAACAATAGAACAATTCTACTTTCACCTTTTCACAATCAAAAATGGATCCTCTATTATCCTAAATAATGTTACAAACACGAATTCATCTTCCATTTAATAAATAATTAATCAAACACTTTTCCTTTCTTCTTTCAACTACATTCCAAACTATCTTTTCACAAGCAACAACACTTCTATCAAACCTAAAAATCCACAGAACACTTTAAAAGAGACGAAAGAATAAATCAAATTTCAACCGCCCTCACCTTTAAAACTCACGGAACACCCTATATACAAGGGATACCCGTCAGATCAAACATTCCCAGAAACGTACGATTTGGCCCGGAATCCGAGGCCAAAAGAAAGAAAGAGGAGCGATCGAATGCAACCTCCTGGCAGGCTTTCTTCTCCTTCCTTCTCACCAGACGCCCAACACCACCACCATTTTCCTCCCCCACCCGATATCGTTAATCTATTCGTCGGTGGTTGGCGCCGGTTCAGCCACGCTGTTGCCACGGTCAACAGCGTAATTCAGTCGTCAACCGTGCTCGCCTTTCCTCACGCTAGATTTAACCAAATCGACGAAGGATGATTAGGAATGGGTGGGGAATAGGCGGAATACCAGAGATCGTTACCACGGCTCGCTCGACGAGCAAAAGAATTGGGAAAATAAACAGGGCGATAAATTCGCGTGTCGAGCACCGACTTCCTGCCATTATCCTATTTACTCGATCGCTGTGATTTATCGGGCAGAGACTTAATTTGCAAATAAGGGGGTGAAAGAACTTGATCGGATCAAGTGATTTCGTCTTTTCTTCGGTGGAAAATATCGGTGTTTGATGTCGTGTTTCTGGGATATCTTTGATCGTTTTTTGATCGTTTTAGATGTTGTGTATTTTTATCATTCCCTGGAAAATATTATTTTTGACGACACGCTCGCTCGTTTCGTCGAGTACGTGATTTCGATGCTCGATGTTCGAAAAAATTGTTTGAAATTCTCCAATGATAAATTGAGATACGAAGGATGGAATTATAATTATTGTTTAACGAGGTTACTTTGATCTTCGATTCGAGGATTATTCCTCGATCGCAAATAAATAAATGGGAATCACGTTCGAAAGCGAATAAGATGTATAAGCAATCGAGGCAAATATTTTCACAGGATGCGCCACGGTTGACCGGTTGAATTCTTTCGTATGCATCAATTTCATATCGTTCCCAAATGAGATATATCGGGGAAGCACGTGATCGACGCGGGACATCGAGATAAGATGATAGAAAATAAATAAACGAAACTTTCGTGTTTTACTTTCCAATTTTCTCTATCAATATTTTTAAATTATTTCTATGAATCACGAGAAGAACTATTTTATTTTCCTAACTAAAGAAATTCACTTTGATATCGCTCGTTTCTTTTATTTGTCGAGATCTTTCTCCTCTTGCCTTTCCTATATAAATTTACAAAATACAAGAATTGCAAGAAATTAGTTTACTTTCATACACCATAAAAAGGATCTAGCCTTCAATTATTTAATTATCTATCGAAACGTGCAATTCATCGTTCATCCTCTACGAGGAAACAAGAAATTTCTCCATCTCTCTCAGAATTACCAATTGATTACGGGGTAGACAGTTAATTAACATATCAGTTTGCTATCTAATTAGGGAGACGACGCACTTTGCTACTTTCGCAAGAAGAGATGCTTTCAAAGGAGACGTTCAATTGATCGAATCGTAGGCGAATAGCGGTTTAATTGAACGAGGCGCGAGAAACCTTTGAATCAATGAGCAAATAACGAGTTTCGAATTGAACTATTTAAAGAAGATTTGAAGACAAGAACGAATTAATAATTCTTGATGAAAGAAATAACGAAATTTCTTCGATTTCTTCACTTTATCGTTGAATTTTAATTTTTGCCATCTTTTTTCTTTATAATATTTCTGTAATAATCCAGAAAGTTGAGAAAAGTTGTGATACTCTCCATCAAAATTATTCCAATCTAATTTTTCTTCCCTTCGCGAAGAAATTAATTCCTTGCACGCTTTTCGACGAATACCTCTAATAGAGGAATATTTTTAAATTTACCAGCAAGGCACGTGTGATCCAGCGTGTCGTTTCGCTGTAAAAGAACGCGTGATCATCGCTTGAAAGAGGTAATGGAAAGCTTTTCGAGCTTATCTCTTGTCTTTTAACAAACGTGCGCTCGACTATCAATAGAAAAATTGTGGCACGAAAAGGTGCCACACTCTTTCAATATCGCTCCGATTCGTGTAATTATTTATGACTTAATATTAATTAATTATCACAGAAAGTCATCGTCCAATCGATAGTCGATGCAATTTGAACATCATTTGACATCGCGTATCCTCATTTCAAGAAAGTCATTTCAACGAATTCTTCGATATCGAGAAAAATATTATTGATGTTTCAAATTTTTTCAATCAACTTCGAAAAGGAAAGGAAATTCAATTCAATGAATATATATATATTTTTTTTTATCGACGTATCGTTTGTTCAAATTGTAGGGAGGAAGCATCATATTCCTACGAAATAAAACATTATTCTCGACACATGTTAAACCCAATGGGTTCCGCGCAATTTTATCTTTAGTATTCTTCTCAATATGCATCCTAATGTTCCTCCCTTGCTCTCAAATTAACATAGAAAATACATCAAGCAATCCCATTAGCATACAACTTGCATCGCCGCAATTCGGTTCCATTCTTCCGCCTCTTTACGAAGAACAGTCAGCCATTTCTGAATAAATATTAACCACCTTTCTTTACGCGATCCAACTATCCTATTAATAATTTCACAACAATCCGTTTAACTGTTGAAAATATCGAACGAATGTAGCACGAATGTAACGGGACAATTGTTTAAAATTTAAACTGGAAACTGGAGGATAGCAACCCTCGTCATAAATTTTCTCATCATGCGATATTATATAACCCGAATGGATGTACTCTTGTTAATTCTGTCGCGAGAGTTTGAAAAGTTTCGGCCGGATCTGCATGAGAAACGCGTCAAGTTTCAGGGATCGACGAAAACGAGACAAACTGATCCGCGAAGTAGGCCGGTTGAATCTATTAAAAAGTTGCCAAGAGAGTGCCGTGCTCTTGTCTTGTTTCATATTAGTGAAATTCCAGACTACGAAGATGCCAGGCCGCTGTTTGCGAAATTTGTTCCTCCAATTGTGGGACTAAAACGAACGTTCCAAGGAATTAGACGTTTTTTAAAATTCTACTCGAGGCTCCTACTCGAAGAAGAAGCCCGGTTTGATTATGCAAACGATCGCTGTTCGATTAAGAGTATTTCCCTTATTTCGCAAACTTTGTTCCCAAAGTAAATTTATTGGAAGCTCGATTTATGAAATGAGAGTTAAGAGCAACTTAAAATCTGAAAACGAGTCTGTTTAGCATTTTGGTAATCGGAGGTATTCGGGCAATCCTTTTGAACCAAATTCCTTGCCTTGTTCGGACAATTTTATATTATCCCGATTCCATTAATCGCGCGATAAATATTCCATCCAAATCTCGACACCATGAATTTTTCTTCTCATTTTTCAAAACTCAGGGTATATTAATTAAAAAAAGCTCGCAAAATTTCATCCCCTGATATTCATCCATCAAAAGAACAAAACTTGCCGCGATTCGCTGTTTAAACGAAAAATTAAACGAACAACCTCAACACAGAAAGCATTATAAGTAATAATCGTCGATTATGTAACATTAATGTACATTGAACGCGTACTCACCTTGGTGTAGACACCGGCGCTGGACAGTTCGTTCTCGATGACCATCACGATGATGCCGAACATCCCCATGACGAGGGCGTAGTCGCTGATGCGTTTCCGCTTCTCGAAAAGGGCCTTCCGCCTGCCGAGCCGGTAGCCGACGTTCGGTTTGTGCTTCGAGCCCGGCCCAATGCTGCCCGAGGGGCCCTTCACCTGCCCGCCCCCGGCCAGGACACGCTCGTCCACGTAGCGCGGGTACTCCGAGTGGATGCCGACAAGGGCGATACCGGCCTCCTCGCCGGCCCCGGTAGCGCCGCCGCTACCGCAGCCAGCACCGCCGCCACCCCCGGCGCCCCCCACGCCGACCCCGCCGCCCACGCCGCCGCTGTTCTTCATCGCCCCCGGGATCGAGAGTGTCGACACTGGCTTCCGTAGCTGGAACAATTGCGATTGTATATGTTAGTTGTGTATGGATTTGGAGGAGGATCTCGCGCCGATGATGCACGCGTGATAACGGTGATGATTGGATGGGGAAGAAGCGTGTCGATTACTTTCGTGGCTGGAAGGGTTATTGATGAAATATGATAATGATTGGATTATAAGAATTGGAATGTAAGATGTCGATTATTTCTGTAGAATTGGAAGAGTTGTTGGTTGGAATTTGGAAAAGTGTGTCGATTATTTTCGTAATTGGAAGAATTATTGAAATATGATAATGATTGGATGGGATACGGAAGGGGATGGAAACAGGTGAAAATAAAAATTATTGGAAAGTGGAGGGTGTCGATTATTTTTTCTGTAGAATTGGGAGAATTATTGGGAAGAAGATTGGATGGAATAGAGGGTTATGATCTTTAACAGGTGAAAATAAAAATTATTGGAAAGTGGAGGTGTCAATTACTTGTATAGAATTGGAAGAGTTGTTGGTCGGAGTTGAGTGTCGATTATATTAATTGGAAGAATTATTGATGAAATATGATAATGATTGGATTATGGTGGTGGAAAGAAGAGGTGAAAATAAAAATTATTGGAAAGTGGAAGATGTCGATTATTTCTGTAGAATTGGAAGAGTTGTTGGTCGGAATGGGAAAGGGTGTCGATTATATTAATTGGAAGAATTATTGATGAAATATGATAATGATTGGATTATGGTGGTGGAAAGAAAAGTGGACGGAGTAAAGGTAAAAATAGAAATTATTGGAAAATCGAGGGTGTCGATCACTTTTACAGAATTGGAAGAGTTGTTGGTTGTAGGATGATTAAGAAATTGATTCAGGATTGCGTCGATTTCGATGATAATGATGATTGGATGGTGGTGGGAAGAAGAGTGGATTGTTCCACGGCACAACGTTCACTGTGGCGCGAATCCTTCTCGTAAAATGTATTTAAAACGAAACGGAAGATGCTGCGGTGCTGAAGAAAATATAGAAGAAGATGGGTCTTGGGAAGCCGCAGAAATATCAAGTTAAACCTTGCTTTAACTTAATTTATTTCGTTTCCTTCGTTCGCTTCGTTGTATTTAATTTAGGTATTTTTTTTTTTTTTATAAATTTATGATCGAGAAATAAGATAAAAAGAGAACCAAGTGAATTGTTTTGCTAATTTTAGTTTCTTGTATATATAATAAATACCTAGTGAAAGAAAAAAATCTGCTCCAAATATCCCGGTAAAATATGAACTGATCGCGAATCTCGCCATCATTATCGTCTTATTTTCATCTGAAACGCTGAAACGCGAGTATAAAAATACGAGACAAAGGCGTATTGAGCGTAAGTCGCACGAAACCTTTGTTCCAGTTTAAAAATGAAATAAGATCTCGATGGTAAAGTTTATAAGAGGTGGACGTTTGCGAAATCGAAACGGATGTCGACATATACACATCGTCGAAATAAACGGATGGAAACGTCGAAAAGCGTGGAATTCGGAACGACGACAAGCTGCGTCGTTTACCAGTGCTCGTCGATTCGGATCGCGGGGAAATCCGGTCAAGGAGGCGATCGGCGTCGCCTTGGAATCTCGATTGGCGGAGATCGATTGTGTTTAGTGCGAGGCGAGGAATGGTTAGCGACGTTCGAGGCGGAAATCAAACGAGTTCGATCGGGAAATAGGTTTATTCTTTATGCTTCGAGTATGTGAAAAACGCGAAAAATAAGTGGAAAATAAAATTCTACGCGATATAACGATATAGTGATTTTAAACTAAGATATATATATAAAAGATTTATCCTGTTCCGATATTACATTAAATTTTCGTTCAAAATTTCGATGAAAATATCATAATTAAGATTGTGCGATACTATTTCCAAAAATAAACACATTAATCGCGTAATTTACCTTTAGAACTCGATTAAACTCTATTAAAATTACTTTGAAACTTTGAACCGATATAATAACTTTCGGAAGATAATGACTTTCGGTCAATCAGCGAAGAGCCATTAGAACCGCTGAAGTTTATCCTTTAAAACGCTTTTTGATTTATCTCGACACAATTTTTAGTTGCTGCGATATCGTCGCGTAAAGAAAACTCGTGTAATTTTTAATCGTTTATCTCAAACCCGTTTAACCGTATTAAAATTAGAAAAATTTCGTATCGCTACGATACCGAAAATAGCGATTCGTTCCGGTCAATGAATGAACGATCATTAAAAGCATGGAGACTTGCCCTTTGAAACGCTTTTTGATTTATCTCGATTCGACTTCCGGTTGTCGAGATATCATCGTGTCATTTTTTATCGTTTATCACCTTGTCACTTGGACCTTCTGCTCACACCCTCGTCTCACTGACCTATCCCAAACTCCAAACAAATGTCAAACATGATTCCTGGAAGAGCTATATAATGCTCGATTCCTAGAAATACGTATAAATACGACATAATACGTATTTCCAAGAAAAGATATGGGTCAGTAGATCACAGGCACATTCATAATCTTTGTCTTAATTATTATGGAAACTTCGAATGTTTATATCTCCCGTAACCGATTTGTAATATCGAGACGAAGCATTCTCGATTCAGTTTCTTCTATTTTATGAGTGTATTTTCGCGAGAAAATTTTTCTTAATTTCCTCCGATGTTTTCTATATGAAAACTGGAAATTTCTTTTGTTATTATATCTAAAGTAAAGACATTTTTTTAAAACGGTACAGAAAAATTTAAACCAAGGTAATAATGTTTTCGAGAATACGAGAAATTGTTACAACTTTATCGATGAAAAATATAATATAATCGTATCATCAAAGGATAACCTAAATGCATCAGCCCAAATAATATAAGATCTCTGATATAAGATTAAAAATTTACTACGAAACATTCAACGAATATCATAAAATAAACCATAAAACTAGATCATTCCTGCAAAATATAAAATTAACAATTAACCCGTATAACCCGTTAATTCAACCAACACTCAATCTCCTTTGTAATACTAATTACAAAGGAGGTCATATGACAGGGCTTGCACACGAAAAAAACTGATTCAATTTCCATTCCAACGGAATACCGTTCCGTAGAATTGTTCCAAACTCATCGACCGACTCGATCTCGAATTTTTCCACCCTTTCCACACTTTCGTTTCGTGCTCGAGGAACAAGGGGACATTCGACAACGTCTTTAACCGCCTCTTTAATCGCGATGAAACGCACGAAAATTCCTACTCGAGTGGAAAAGTTATCGTCGCGCTTTTAATAGCGCGTGACAGAGCTCGTGTCACAAAGGGGAAGAACAATGGAACGTGGGACGAAATCAGGCAACGAAAATCAAGACCAACAAGAGCGTATCGCGCGTTAAATTGCATCGACGCACGCTGAAAATACCGATGAAACAATTACGGGTCTACGTTAAGACTGACACCGGAATGGAGAGCGTAAAGGGGCGGTTTATTCATCGTGCTTGAAATTACGCGAGACCTCGAGAAAATTGAATTTATGGTGGATGATCGATACTCGACGGGAGTGGAGCGGAGACGAATATTCGGTTCACGTTGTTTGCGGCAATAAAAATTGTGTAATTAGATCGTGGAGGATTTAGAGCCCCTCGAAGGAGGGGCGGGTCTTTGCTTTCGTTCGAGTCCTTTGAGCTATTGAACCGCTATTGGCAACGTTCTTGTGCGAACTTGCGTTTTTATATTAAATTGATTGAATTCTTTTTTAACACAAAATTCGCTCGTTACGAGAGAATATTAATTTCGATCGAAACGAGTAAGAGTAACCTATTTCTTTCACAATCTACGTAACTTTCCCTCGATTTATGACCACTCGATCTTTGACCTCTACCTCTGCTCACAATTCGGTGACGCTTCTTCCAATAACGATTCTTACAATCACGCCAATTTCAGAAGCGACAGTCGGAATTTTTCGGACCCCTATTTCCTCTACTTGTCTCATAGTCGAGCGAATATTTCCATTTCCTTTTTTCTAAATTATTACACTCCCTATTGTATGCATTACCTTTTTTTCTACAAAATTCGAAGGCGCTGAACCTCGAAAACACACATACACACACGCACGCACATCCTCGCCTCACTTCGAATCGACTTTTTATCGCAGAAAAAGGGGCGAGAAAATGGCGAGCGAGGGATGGGTCGCCGCAAGGTGGATAAAATTTGGGAAAATAGTTGATGGTGATTTTGCCGCGAGCGAAGGCGGGAATAGAAATACAATCTGGCGAGGCACGCCGCCACGCGCAATATGGGAAATGTACGACGAGCAAGAAAAAAGAAGAAAAAAGAAATGGAAGAAGAAAAATAAGAAAAAACAAATTCGTATTGCGCGAAAATAAAGATAGAGCACAAGGAGAATAGAGGGATTTGGAGATACGGATAATAGCACGATAAATGGAAGATAAAGCTTGCGACGTGTCCTGAAGGTGTTTCATAGGAAAGCAGGTACTTAGTATTGCTTCCTTGGGAGCTTAGGGTGCTCCAACCTTGGGGTCGCAACTTACATTATGGCTCAAGCCTTGTTGCTCATGAATTTTTGGTGAAAATTTATTATAGCGGGATATACTTAAGCATGACCAAGTATGATGCTAGCTTTTCAGAGTTTTAATTCTATTCAATATTTTTGAAAAATAGAATATTTGGAGGGAACGTAGTGGTAGCGTTTCTAACTAAATTATCCCCAATTTTTTAAAATCGAAAACTTCGAAGTGAGTTTGAGACATATATATATAACGTCTTGCATTAACGTCTTCGTTTTGGAAATAGAAAATACTTGGAATAATTCCAATCCTTTTCAACTGATCGTTATTTTTGCCAATTCTTTTGAACGGTTTTGTGCAAAATTAGACTAGTTTTCTCTATTTTAACGCTCGATATTTTAATAATATTTCGGCACAACACATCGTGGTTCAACATCCACAAACTTTCGTCCGTTTTATTAGCTTTCGACGCTGTTCACATATTCATTTCTGGAAATTAGATTAAACCGTGGCGTGCGTT